TCCTATCCCGAAATTCTGTATCCCGAAACACCCAATCCCGAAATTCTGTATCCCGAAACTCTCTATCCCGAAACTCTCTATCCCGAAAACTCTCTATCCCGAAAACTCTCTATCCCGAAAACTCTCTATCCCGAAAACTCTCTATCCCGAAAACTCCATATCCCAAAACAAGTTAGCTCCATCCCTTAAATCTTTCTCCAGCCCTTTAATACCGATTTCCATCCCATTACTGGGCAAGGTGTTTCGATGCTTGCTCGTGCTCAAGCTCCTCAAAAGTCAAAGTTAGCTTAATTTAAATCGCTTGTGCATCATGGTTACCGCCAAAAGTTTATGCCTCTAGTCTTTGACAACAATCATATCGCGTTTTTAGGGTTCCTCTAGGGCAAAACCTTTATGGCAACCGGGGCGGCGCGTACCTCGATTTCAACTTTTTTTGCTGGGTGTTTTTTTTCTGGTGTATAGCGTTTTTGGGCCGGCTAAAGTGTTGACTGGTCATTTCCGAACTTTTCCTGTGGTTTCTTCGTTCGTCCGGTCATGCTGAAGTTTCTTATGGGATCGGAAAGCTTGCGCGTTTTCAGCGTCTGCAAGGGGAGAGAAATTTGGTTCGAACTTCTCCAATTTATTCCCAAGAGATATGACGGATTCACGCGCAGTTTTCTTTTTAAGCTTATTAAATACACCTCAACGATTCATAGAAATTAAATTATGGTCTGCAAAAACAGGGAAAAAATAGGAAAAACCGCTTTGCAACTTTGTCCGAATAATTTTGGGACACCCTGTAGGATGTGCTCATTCGAATGACGTATCGTACGTCCGGATCCGGCTCCTCTACGCGGAGCATGGGACCAGCGACTCCATTGGTCGAGCCGATTTTGCACCTTTTATATGGCATTTGGGGGCCATTAGTAGGCTATCTCTGCCGAATCGGAAGGGATCGACTTAAAATGTTCCCTGATGGTGAGGAACGTCATCGGCAAGCCGGAATAAATCTGGCGACTCGATTCGGTGCATCTGAAGACCACTTTGGGACCAGCGACGGATGTTGTAGGAACAAAATCGGCTCGACAATGGAGTCGCTGGTCCCATGCTCCGCGTAGAGGAGCCGGATCCGGACGTACGATACGTCATTCGAAAGAGCACATCGTACTCTATCATCGATGTCAAGGAAAAATTTTTAAAAAATTACTCCCCCCTGTTAAGAGAAAAACTCCGAATTTAGCCGATTTTCAAAATCCAAAAAAGTGACAGTCGCTGGCCCCAGGCTCGAAGCAGACGCAAGCAATCTAAATATTCTTTTCGGCGTACGGTAACCCACCCTTTAGGCTACCTTCATTTCAATTAAAACCAATCAAGCTGATGTTTCAGGGGACCAAAACCGGGAAAACCCTTGATTCGTCGGCTGATTGGTCGATTTGGCGCTGGTCCCAAAAACCGGTCTTAACCGCGTACAAAAAATCTGATATTTTTTCCTGGTGATTAGTAGACCCAGATCTACCATTAGGCTAAGTTTCAAGTGAATCGGTCATTGGAATCAAAATTTGAGTTTTTGATGGAACAATTTTTTGGGTGATATGATCAAAAAATAAGTTTTTCGTTAGGAAGGCTCAATTCTGGTTTCAAAATTTTCTCCGGCAAAGATTTCAGTTCTTTTTGAAGGTTTTGACTTTGGATAACAAATTCGGGGTTTTTACAACTTTACAGTACTATACACATCAAGGAAGCTTTAAAGGTCAGTGGTAGGTGAGAGCATAATCTTGAGAGGATATGAAAGGAATGCATTTTAGAGACTTCATCAGCTTCTCCTTCGGCTTCTTTCAGTTGCCTTCGCGTTAAACGTCGCCTGCAATTTTTCTTTGACGATTTATTTTTATCGGTTCGCTCCGATTCAGTTGGCTTCAAAAAGTTTTTGACCTACGTAGCACATCTGAGACGGAAATCACAGCATACACAGATACCATCGATAATTTTCGACAACCGAAAAATCCTGCAAAATTATCCCAAAACCCAGTTTTCTTTCAAAAAAATCGCGCCGCTCCGCGCCGCTGGTCTAACAAGGAGTCGCTTTTAGGTGCTTTTGGAGTTTCTGGACGGGATCTAGCTAGTTCGATAGAGAAAAAAATTCTGAACACCATACCATTTTCAAAAAGTGCTGATCGATAAAGGAATTTTAGAAGATTTAATTTAAAGTTCGCGCTTTTTTTCTAGTTTTCGGGCCCATTTCCTCCGTTCACGTCGTTTTCGGGGCTGGGCAAGGCGCCATTCATAACATTCCGCCAAGGCCTCCATCACAGTCACCATCACTTATCGCGAGGGTCGGTGCTGGTCTTGAGGTACTCCCAGATCTTTTTCACGGCTCGGACCTCATCGGTGTCGAACGCCTCGAGGAATGTCTTGAAGCCGGGGGTGAACTCGTCTGAAAGGGCTTAGGCTTAGGCTTGGCTTAGGCTGGGTTTAGGCCTTGGCCCGGCTTAGGCTTGACTTAAGCTTGGCTTAGGCGTAGTATTTCCATACCATAAAGTTCCTTCGGGAAGAATTCCGGTGCTTTGAACTTCCTGACGTCGAGCGTGCCGAGGGTGACGTTGATGAAATCGTTAATGTTGTAGACGCCAGCCGGAGGAGCGGGCTTGGCGTAGGTACCGGCGACGGCGGCCAAGGCAAGGAGTGCGATGCGCAGCATTCCTGAAAATTTTTGGTGAGGTATCAAAAAACTATTAAGTAGTGAAAATGTAGTAAAAACCTTTTAGGATGTCAACATTTTGGTTTTTTTTGGTGACTTACATATATTTTTTCAACAAACTTCAAAAAATTTTGACATTTTTGTTATTTTAAGAGCCGTTTTATAGCGAAAAATTGTGTAAAAGGCAATGCAGGACGGTATGACTGGGCAAACCCCCGGCTAAAAGAAAAGCCCAAAAAAAGTTTGTAGATGTGAAAAAATGATGAACGTGCTGAAACACTGCGGTTGCGGCTTTTATAAGCGTTCGCATTGGTTCCGTGTTTATATTGGTCTGTAAACTAATCGGAACCGAGGAGCAAAAAATCGTTCTGTGTCTTACACTCTCCCTCTCAATCTCCCTAAACAGTTGCGTTTTCGAAGCGGAAGTGAAAGACACCACTCCATTTTTTGAGATACCTTCTGAAGAAAGGCGTGATTTGCACCAAGCGTTTTTTATAACATCGAAATACAATTTTCAAGGGTAGCTCCTAGCTGAAAAAGCTTTAATTTAATTTTTATTTTTAGGCCCTTCAGAAGGTTGTTTCAGTTCTTAAACCTTTCGTTTAGTTTTGCAAAGCAAACTTTTTTGTTTTCCGCTTTTTCTGCCACCAAAATATTTTCCGCTGCGAATGGCACTTAGTGTTTATTGAAAAACTAAACTAGGCAGGCTATAAGAGAAGCCGGAATCGAAGGGAAAACAACCATCAAACTATTCAAAATGCGTGTCTTTCTAATCGCTACGGTATTGGGCGTTTCTTGCCTAGCTTTTAAATGCAAAGAAAAGGGTATTTTATCGCTATACCCGAAAAGTATCCAAGGTAAAATTTTGGGCGTACTTGATTACTGCTAGGGGCTTTAAGATAGCAAGTCAGAGCGATAGAAGGAAAGAGCTAGAGAGATAGATGGAGAGAGCGAGAGAGAGTGTGTGCGAGAGAGAGAGAGAGATAGCTAAATTTTTCAGGCCTCTTCCCCCAACCAGCCCAAGACTTCTTATCCAAATTCACCAAGAAGGACTTCAACGCCATTGTCGTCGCGGCTGATGGAAGAGCCGGCTTGCTAAGGACTGACCGGAAGCAGGTAGTTGTTTCTACGAAACTTTTTTTTGACAAGTTCCCGGAAGAATCTACCCCTCGCCCCACACTGGGTCTTGATTTTTAAACCAATTTTTAAACCGCGGGAGTGTGTTTGGAAAAATACTCCGGATCTTAAATTAAAATAGTTTTTTAGCCCCTTTACAGCTCTTTGAATATTTCTATCTCTATGCGCTTCCAGGTTCTCGAGAAGCTCTCAGGAAATCAGGAGCTCGAGCAGAGACTCCAGAACGCCCTTAGATTGTACGACGAGCACATGGGCCAACTCACCCCGGCTGCCAGGAGCTTTGTCGCAAAGGTACACCTAAGCCTGAACATAGGCCTGAGCTTAAGCCTAATCCAAGCTTAAGCCTACGTCTGAGCCTAAGCCTGAGCCTGAGCCCGGGCCTAAGCTTAACCCAGCCGCCTGGGCAAAAATGGTAATTATATGCTTTTATTTCAGCTATTCCTCCGCGATCCGAAGGACCAGATGGAAAAGGAGGTTCGCCTTTTATATTTGCAGATGCCTTTTATATTTGCAGCAGATTTTATATATGTTTTTTTTGTAGAAAATTCCTGACAGCATCGGGAGTGACTACAAAAGCCTGTCTGACGAGGATCGCAGCTCTATCAGTCAACATGCCAGTTTTATCGAGAGATTGGTGAATGGTAAAAATGTCAAATTTCTAGTTTAAAATGTTTTCCTTAGATAAACACCTGCTGCGAGAGCTGACCGATAGTTACGACCAATTTTATTGATTTCAATCGATTTGTGTAATAAAATAAAGCCTCAATAAATTTTGAAATTTTTAACGCTCGATTGCCTGCTGCTAATTTTCTTTAAAAGTATTATATTGCTACAAACTCGCCGCGCTGACTAAAATACCGGTTCCACCAAATTCGGCCGTGCGCGCCAAGCGTCCCGCAAAAAATGATGGGATGGGCGGTGAAAAAGGAGAACGCTGGGTGGCAGCTCGGGATCCGGGGGGATCGTAACAAGATCAACTTTCCCCCGCCCCCATTCGCCTATCAACCACAACAAATTGTTGGTGCTGTTCGGGCTGTTTTTTGGGCTATTATTCAGATTATTTAAAGGAACAGGCATGGTATGACTATGGATTTTATTGGCGCGTTGTACTATACCTGGGCCGAGCCTTAGGCTTAAGCTTAACTTACTTAGAGCCGATTCCTTTAAAGAATCCTTCGTTGTGTCTCTACTCCTCTCTCTCTATCTATCGCTGTCTCTCCCTCTATCTCGGGCTATTGCTTCCACTCCTACCTCTCTAACTCTCTCACCCACACTATTTCACTTCCTGACTATCTCTCTCTTGCTCTTTCTCTCTCGCTCCCTCATTCTCTCGCTCTCGCCCTTTTGCTCTCTCTCGCTCTCTCTCACTATCTCACTATCTCTCAGTCTCGCTAAGATCACCCTCGTTTTTATTGCTATTTTCAAGGATGGCAAGAGACTTCCGGGAAGACCGCGAGAAGTACAAGTGCATTTGCGGTTTCTTGCATATCAAGGTATCAGATTAACCTAAAATTATATACAGCCTGGACTTTCAGACAGCCACTTGGATTATCTGGGGCCTGAACCTCGCCGGACTGATCCACGATCTGCTTCTCACGAGGGCAACTTTAACCGGCAATGATGGCGAGGAAGCGGACAGTATCACCTGGGTAAGTCTTGAAATTTTTTGATTTATCCGGTATCGATTCAAAAAAATGCCGAAACCTGTCATGGCGGACCCTAGAATGCCGACAGCAAAAATACCGACATCCAAGTGTCCGGTTCGTCAAAATGTGAAATTTTATGTTGTACTGGTAGTTGCAGGACAGGTGCCAGGTCAAATTTTGGCTATCGACATTTTATTGGGCACCATCGGATTTGTCGATATCTTGGGTTGTCGGCATTTTGTATCTCTGTAATTCGACTGTCGGTCTTTTGTTTGTCGGCATTTCGCTTCACGGCATCGCCTTTGTCGAGCGTTTGGATACCAACATGTTTGTGTCGGTTTTCTTGCTATCGTTATGTCGGTATTTTCGAAGTTAGTTTTACCTAGACTCTGGGATTTGTGGCTGTCGGTATTCTAGCTGTTTCAATTTCTTGGCTGTCGGCGGTTTTATACGAGACAGCGGTTAAATACGCAGTAAAAAACAGAAAACTTTACGCAAAAAGCGTTTTTTCGCCTTTTTATTTGTATTTCCAATTACCATTTCATTTTTAAAAACGAATTAATTTTTCAGTTCCTCGGCATCCCTCTCCTGATGATCAAGACCTTCGCGTGGACGATGTTATTGTGCGGCCTCTTGGCGGAACGCGCGAGCTTCCTGGTCCCGTATCTCATCATCAAGGTCACACCCCTTGCCCTTGCACTTTAAAACACCAAAAAAGCTTGTAGGTACTCGAGTTCCTATTATATGGCCTGATTGCCGTGTGTCTTGCCATCGTCCTGGCAGTTGACGCAACTCCGTATGGTTTTTGGCATAATTTGACGGTAGATGAACAACGAATTGTGATTATGCAGCCGATTAGGCCATAAAAACCTAAAAAAATCGAAAATTCAGGGTTTTTAAGACGAATCCTGACGGTATCTGGCCAGTTAGATTTAGAAAAGTATACCTACAAACCATAAAATTTTAGAAAAGCCGATGACGACTCGGCACAACGTGAACTTCATCGCGTCGCCGCCAGCTTGAGCGGTGGAACCGGTACGTCTTAAATATAAAAAGCTAATCCTTAGCAGAATAACTACTCGAAGAAATTGAAGAATATGATTTTTTTTAGGCTGGGCATTAGCTTTTCTCATCGGTGCATTTTTGCTCTTCACCCTGATCGCGTTGTGGACCGTTTTCAAGTAGGTTTTGGCCGCGAAAAATCAGGAAAGTGAGAAAGAGAACGAGAGAGAAAGGAAAAGCACCAAAAAATTTCATTTTCAGGTGCCGTCGATACTTCCTCGACTTGGCGGCCCATTGGGAGCGTACGAACAGCGCAACCAACGCGTACGTTTATCCTGCCGCATCGACTTATCGGGCCTGAGAAATCGAAGGATTTTCAGGACGGAATACCTAAAATAAATTTCATCGCAAGCCTTTTTCGGTATGCAATCAAAAAGCTTCAATGGTGTCGAGAAGTTGATACTTTATTATGGCAAAAGATACAGGCTAATTTACGCCAGCACGTGAAATAAATAAGGCTTTCTTAGAATCACAGAAGAAAAGGAGATCGAGCACCTTTGGAGCCTCAAGTTTAGATGACCAGGTTTTGGGCTTTAACCTTCTTGTGGTCCTCGCGGAGTTGGATGAAGTTGACGATCAGGGTCCGGTCGATGTTTGCCTAAATTTTGAAAATTTTGAAGAGAAAAAGAGTGAGAGAAAGAGAGAGAGAGAGAGAGAGAGAGAGAGAGAGAGAGAGAAAACGCACTAGAGTCGGACTTCGTGCCGCATCTGCTAGGCTGTCCGGCAGCACCACTAGCAGATTCGCGAGTGAGTGTAACCTTTCAAAAGGTAGTACAGCATCTCGTCCACATCTCCACCCGGAGACGAACTTCCTGAAAATATTGGGGGGTAGCTGAGTACTTTCTCGATTTTTCTCGACCCCAAAAAGTCAAGCTCGATGACCTACTTGTACTCGTTGAGGTCGCACAACAAATGCATCGCTCCGGCTGAATTGTAGAGGAAGCTTTGGACGTGAGCGAGTACAGTCTGGGACAATCGATCGGCCAGTTCAACCTCGGTCATCTACAAGTAGCTGTAGGGATCAGAGTTTTAGATTACCTGCAAGTTCGTGCCATCACATCCTCGCTCCAGCGCTGTTAGCTGCGATTTCAGGAATCGCAGGATCGTTTGGCAGGCCTGAATAGAAAGATACGATTGTAATCAAAAAGCTTAAGCGCCTAAGCCTATCCCTACGCCTACGCTTATGCCTAAGCATGAGCCTAAGCTAGAACCTAAACCTAAGCCAGAACCTAAATCTAAGCTTAAACAAAAACCACCTACCGTGCTGGTCCCGATCCGAACTTGATCATCTTCAGGAATAAAATCGGCCTTCTTCTGCTGTGACGTCAAGACGAAGCGCGTATAACCTGAAGTAAGAGCTTGATTTTCTGAAGGGTGGTCCTACCTTGAATCGCGTTCAACTGTCTGTTCATCCCCGTGTTCACCTTCGTCTCCAAGCTTCTCAACGCCCCGGTCCACTTCTTCGAGCAGGCCTGTTCGGCTAGGGATCCACGCACTAATGGCCAGATGCTGTCCTCGAACTGCTTGGCGCACAGCAGCATGATGGCCGTATTCTGGGGGACGAACGTGAAGAAATAGGCGGGAGGTTCGGTTTTTGGCTCGGCCAGGGTGATACCTTAAAAAAAGCTCTCATATCTTCATCGATCTCTCTCTCTCTCCCTCTCCCCTACCTGCTAATGCCAATTCCACTGCATAATCCAAGTGCTCAACAACGAGCTTGGCCAGTAGAACATCAAGAATCTTCTCAGCTTGACGAGGCACTTCCTTTTTTCCGCAAAACTAAAACAACAGTTTTTTATCAAGCTCCAAACGATACCAATTGACATCTATTAAACGCATTCTTCGTCTCCTGCAAAATCGAGATGGCAACATCTTCGGCAAGGAAGGTCTCGCCACCATAGTCATCCGCCGAAAGGAGCCGTAAAGTGACGTCTCGACGAAGTTCTTGAAGCCTTGGAAAATTCTGGTAGATGAACATTCATAATAACAAACCCTCCACTCTGAATCGCGCGCTTCTGATGCTTCTTGGAGTCGTAGAATCTGGATAGAATTTGAGAGCACTGTGCGTTGAGGTAGTCCAACTCGTCCTAGAAATCCTTTTATGGTCTCTAGATAGAGATCCCACCTTTGGATAAGCATCAATGTATCGCTCAAATATAGATGAGCACAACGTCTTCAAGAAGGTCGGGTCCGGAGACACATGAACAGCTTCTAGCTCGAGACACAGCTTTTTAGCACTGAAGTAGATGAAAATCTTATTTCGCAAGCTTGATCTACCTGGTGTACATTTCCGAAAGCGCGACCAGGTACGCTTCTTGGTCTCCGGCTTCACGATGGTCCCGGAGGATGGCGTAGACGGTTTCCTGGAGAAGATCTGTGTAGGAACGGGAGACCGAGAGAGAGAGAGAAAGAGAGAGAGCGATAGAAAGAGAGAGAGGGAGAGCGAGAGAAATGCTCCTCACCTTCAACTTTCCAGAAAATATACTTGCTACCAGCTTCTGAAGCACTGAAGTTGGATTTGGGAAGATGGCTTCGATTTTTGGCTTTGCATTCCTGGAAAATTCAGACTCATTGAACGCCTGCAACTTGTTGTTAATCACCTGCACAGGTGCAATGTTTCCGCGAAAACGTCGCCACGATCGCGATGAAAAGAAGTGGCGTGCAGAAACTCGACATATCGATCCACGCATGAGCTGTAGCCCTAAAGCTTCTAATTTGAGCATCCATTTTGAGCTCGTACCTTGAACTCCGCGAGCACCTTGGCCGCCTGCGACATCTTTTTCTCGTCTCGCTGAGAGCGGACGAACTCGTCGATGAGTAGCTTCTCAATCTCCTCGTACCGATGCGTGATCCTGGCCTGGACGAAGGCGTACTTGTCCTTCGACAACTCCTGGGAGATGGAGTACAGCTTCTGGATGAGGTCCGCGGATTCAAGGAGCTGAAAGGGGGGATGTTATTTGAGAGCGAGAGTGGGAGAAAGAGAAAGAGAGAGAGAGAGAGAGAGAGAGAGAGAGAGAGAGAGAGAAGATGCGAGAACGAACCTTATCCGGATCCGTGAAGATCGCCGAGTTCAGCGGCTGATCGAGGAGGAACTGGTCGAAGTGGGTGATCAACGCCAGGGCTTCGGCAGCTCTGAAAACGCATCGATTACGCTTGGCTTATGCGTAGGCTAAAGCTTATTGGGTAACGCTTCAAGCATTCCAGCTTAATCTCAATCTCACCTCGTCCTAGGAGCATCTACACTCTCGAGCTGGTCGCCAAGGTGTACAACAGCCGTCGATACGGATTGCATAGTGTTGTCTAGTTGCTAAAAATCGGGTAGAGGATTACTAAACGGGAACTTACCCTAACTTTCTCGATCGCCACCGCATTCTGGTCGTGCAAGTGCTGGAGCTGATTGCAATAGTCTCGCTTGTCGTTGTTCAGTTGCTGCTCGAGGCTGTTGATCTTGGACTGAAAAAATTGTACGTATGCCTTGGCTTGGTCCGCCTCGGAAAGTCGCTGAAGCTACTGGAGCTGGCCAGACTTACCGAAAATTGCTCGCAAAGCATTTGCAAGCTCGAAATCTCCTCTTCCAGCTTCTCTTTCAGATGAAGCGGATCTTCGATGGTATCGGAACCCTAATAAATATTTGCGCTTAGGCATAGATTAAGCTTAGGCTTAGGCTTCAGCTTAGGTTTAGGCATGGGCATGGGTTTACCTGCGTAATCCGCCACACCACGCGTTCGACGAAATCCGTGGCATCGAAAGGGTCCTGAAAATCAGATTAGCATAAATACTTCCAACCCACTTGCTCCAGATCCTGCACATAGGTGGCGAACTGGTGACTCATTAAGGATCTGCCAAGAAAATCCTTAGAAAAACCCCCTGAATGCGTTTTTTGGAATGGTTCCGCTTTTGCAGATAGCTAGGCCCTACATAGAGGGCGTAATTGGTTGGGCATCTGCAAGTCTGACGCGGGGGTTGAAAGGCTGGCTTACGGTAAAAGGGGCACGAAATAGGACGAAAAGCTCTTGGAAGCCTTGGAAAATATAATTGAAAATATTTTTTTAAGTATGACAATGTTCTTTTCAATATTTTACGCTCTCTCGTTCCCTATCACTCCTTGCTCTCCCTCTCTCTCGCTCACTCTCTGGTTCTCTCTCTTCACTATCTCTCGTTCACTCTCCTTTGCTGCCTCTCTCTTTCACTCTCTGTCATACGCTCTGTCACTCTCTCACCCTCGCTCGCTCTCACACTTTGCCTCTCATTTTCACTTTCTCTCCCTCTCGCTCTCTCTCTCTCTCTCTCTCTCTCTCTCTCTCTCTCTCTCTGGTTTTTTCCTGTCCTTTAAATCATAAACGCAGCATTTATTCGAGAAATTTTATCATCCGAACAACAAAAAAACGCGATTCACATAACAAAAATCAACCCGAATAGTGTGCTGTAATCATTCAACAACGACCTCGTCGGCCTTAGTCGCCCTCGTGTAGACGAGCTGGGCTCCGTGTTGCACGACGCACTTGATGAGACCCTTGGCCTGAAGCTCGCGCAGACCGGCCTTGGCCAGTGATGCTCGCACCTTCAGACGCTCGGATACTGTCGACGGCGTGATCAGCTTGGCGGTGGTGATCTGGAGAGGGGTGGGATGAGGTCATGAAATTATATGCAAAGTCTCATGTTAAAATCTGTTTTATTTAAGTTTAGGCT